GATATCACGATTATCTTCATGATGCCAAAAGCGCTTCAGGTAATAAAATTAATTTAAGAGCAGAATTTCAATGTACAATAAGCTTCAAACAAAATAGTTTTCAGGGTAAATGTTTTATCACTTCAATGCCTAATCTCAATTTACTGGGTATGGCTTGGATCACAAAATTTGGTTTATGGAACGTACCATTCAATTCAGTCTGCAATGTGTTAAATCAAAACAATTTTCGATCAATGCAGAATCATTCAAATTAGCCTTTCCTAAAGTTTTTCAAGAAACATGAGGTCATTGTTGAAAAACCAAAGTTAAACTTCATATAAAAGAAGATGCAGCAAACCGAAAAGACTAGTAGCTTATTCAGTCATGGATAAAGTTGACCAAGAACTTCAAACGTTGCAAGAAAAAAATATATCGTTAATTGAATATTCTGGATCGGGCAGTAGTTACAAAGAAACAAAACGGAGATGCCAGATTATGTGGCGATTACTCTACTGGGGTCGTATTTTCGAATATTTTCGCATACGAAATTTGATACGATTTCGAATGCTCCCCATTTAATTTACATTGCTGTCAGTCAAATTTCGTGTACGAAATCTACTCGAATGGTTTCGAAAATCGCACCCCTTGGTCTCAATGAAGCACTTCTACCACATCATTACCCTGTTCCAACAGTCGAAGAAACCCTTTCAAAATTACAAAATGCTACAATTTTTAGTATCATTGGCCTTTCTGATGCTTTCCTTCAAATTGAAATCAGTGAAGAATCAAGAAAATATTTATTAATAAACACTCATCATGGATTGTTTCAATACAATAGAATGCCATTTGGTATAAAAGTTGCCTTAGCCAGTTTTCAACAACTTATGGATACCATGTTATCGGGTCTGAAAGGAACCACAGCATATATCGATGACATTTTTAGTATCAGGCCTATCAGAGGAAGAACATTTTCAAAATTCAAATCTTGTCCTAAGACGTATAGAAGAGTTTGGTTTTCACTTAAAATCATAAGAATGTAAATTTGGAGTCAAAGAAATTAAGTATTTGGGATATATTAAGTAAAGGGGAGTTGAAAACAGATCCAGAAAAAACTGAAGCTATCAGAAATATGCCACCGCCCCATGATATCAACATTTGTGTGTTACGTCAACCACTAAACAAATTATTAAAAAAAGGAATCAAATTTTTATGGACAACAGAATGACAAGAATCGTTTGAAAAATTTGAAAAAATTTTGAAGTCGGATCTGAGTCTAACCAACTACAACCCAGTTCACGAAATCATTGTAGCGGGCGACGCAAGTATCACTGAAATAGGAGCCTGTATTTTACACAGATTCAAAAATGGCACTATCAAACCTATATGGCACGCATCTAGAACTCTTACTGAAACAAAAAAGAGATACCTACTTCAAAGATGGGCATTAGGTCTCAAAGCATATGACGTCAAGATAGAATATATTGAAACTATAGCGATTTTGTACACGCAGATTTTTTTATCAAGATTAAAGTCAAAGTCAAAGTCAAAAAATGCTTTATTGTCTAAGAACAAAATTCTCGTTGACAAAGCTGTAAAAGGGGAAAAAAAAAAAAACATTATACAAAAATAATTCCAGGGCCATAGAGTACCAAGATTGAAATAATCAAAATAAAAATACAATACAAGGTCAGACTAAAACAATAAAATCATTTAAACAGTCATTAAAACAAAAGATGAAGTCACTTTAAAAATCAACATAAATATAAACATAAATCAACATAAATACAAAAACATGTTCATTCTAAAATATAAAATACAAAATATCAAAATTGCACAAACGTAAAGTCAACAGACATAGAAGTCATTGAATAAAACTACAAATTATATTCAGACAGTCACAAGAAAGCATCTTGGAAAAATTCTTCTGTGCTATAGTAGGCCTTTGATAATAGAAGCCTCTTAAGATGTACTCTAAATTTTTTACCAGATACTATCTGTCTCAGATGCAGTGGCAAATGGTTAAAGATCTTTTTACTTTGATAGATTATCGAGTTTTTTGTTTGTGTGGAGGAAGGGATAGGAAGGTTCACATTGTGTGTTTGTCGAGTGGTATGTACAGATGAAAATTCGTGTATGTTTTCCTTAAACTTTTTATGAACGAGACATGAAGTCTCTAGTAAAAAAATACTAGGAAATGTAAGCAATTTATGACGCAAAAACAATGGTCTACATGAGTCTCGTAATCCTATCTTAAACATATACCTTACCGCCCTCTTTTGCAACACAAACAACATATTAAAGAGAGACAATGAACAAAAACCCCAGAAACATATTCCATACCGCAAATGGGATTCAACGAGAGCAAAGTATGCACTTTTTGTTGTCCCAAGATCTAGCTTACTCGATATTACTCTGATTGCATAACATCCTGATGACACCTTTTTGCTCATGTATGTTAAGTGAGGCTCAAATTTTAGTCTATCGTCTATGTATACTCCTAAAAACTTACTCGATTTTTGACTGGCAACAGTATCTGCCCCTAAGGTAATTCCCTCAAAACCACATTTAAATGTTAACACATTTGTCTTCGACACATTAAAAGTTAAACAATTCGCATCAGTCCATTCTTTTACCTTAACTAAATCATTATTGATATCTGATTTAAGCTGTTCTACATCCTTATTTACCCAGAGAATCGTGGCATCATCGGCAAACAGTGTAAATACCCCAACTATATCAATGCTAGACAGATCGTTGATGTACAATAAAAATAATAGAGGTCCCAAAACAGATCCTTGTGGAACTCCTGCACTTATAGCCAGTTGTTCTGAATCAACACCATCAAAAGTAACTCTCTGTGCCCGTTCAGAAAAGTAGGACTCAAACCACTTTAGAGCTACCCCCCTCACCCCATAGGCTTCCAGCTTACATAACATTATTTTATGATTGACACAGTCAAAGGCCTTTGACAAATCACAAAAAACCGCTGCTGCGACATCACCGTTATTTAATCCCAAATATAGTTTCTCCAAAAATGCGAAAATTGCATCATTTGTGCCACATGACTCCCGAAATCCAAACTGTTCACAACAGAGAATACTATGTTTTTTAAGAAAACACATTAAACGCGCCTTGACTAGCTTTTCTATTACTTTAGACATTGTAGGCAACAATGAGATTGGCCTAAAATTTGAGGGTGTATCGCAGTCACCACCCTTGTGAAGAGGTAAGACCCTTGCAAGTTTCAGACAGGAAGGGAAAATCCCTGATTGAAAGGACTGATTCACAGAATCAGCAAACACCTCTAGAACCGATTCGGGCAAATGCGAAAAGACCTTCAGCGTAATCTCATCCCATCCCGCAGAATTTTTATTTTTAATATCTTTTAAGGTGTCTCTGATTTCTTGTGTTGTAGTAGGTTTAAAGAAAAAAGACTCGGATACGCTTATGTGACTTAGATATTCTCTAGGGTTAGTCCCAGAACTAATTTTGCTAGAAAGAGAAGCCGCAATCGAACAATAAAATTTATTAATTTCCGTGGCAGTCAAATTTGAGTCCATTGGTGAAGTATTCTTTTTTCCTCTTAAGTTATTAACAATTCTCCATGATTCCTTTTGTTTGTTGCCAGCCATCTCTATCCTATTTCTAAAATATAATTGCTTAGCGGTTTTAACTACTTGCCTATATATTTTACGATATTTGTTGAAAAAAAGCATAAAACCATCATTCCCCAAATAAAACTTCCTAATGTAATGCAAAGAACGCATATTTCTAGCCGATACTCTTAAACCTTTTGTAATCCACAGTTTTTTACTCTTACACTTCCTGGTTCTAAGCGGAAAAGATCTATAAAAAACACTCAACAAAGCAGAATGCAACTCCGACAAAGAATTCTCACATCTACCAATCTCGGTCCAGTCTGTATGCTCGCAGAGTCTCAAAAATGTCTCAAAGTTACCTGTAGAGTAAAGTCGTTTGTACTCTTTTGGCAGTTTAACTGTGCCATAGTCACATTCCACCTCCAGTCCACACACAACCGCCTCATGATCGGAAAGACCCGCACCAACTGTTGAACAACTCACTCTCCCTTCATCAGAATTTGTACAAATATAATCCAACAATGTCGCTGAATTCGCAGTAATTCTAGTGGGTTCCTTTACATGTACTTTTAAATTAATAGAGGAGAGTAAGCCATTCAAAGTCTGCACCGAAGCCGATCCTGTATCTAAAAAGTTAATATTTAAATCTCCTGTCAATATTATTAGGGCATTCAAAGGTAGGCTTGTTAAAAGTTTTTCCAATCTGGCAAAAAACGCATCAACATTGCTTGAAGGAGGTCTATAGATACACAAAACATAAAACAAAGGTCGCAAACAACACACAATTGAAAATTCGAATTCCTTTTCAATTATTAAACTATTATATCTATCTACATTGATTATTTTAAATACTTCAAACAATCTCTGCTGTACCATTATGAGTGTTCCACCATGCACTGCATCTGACCTACAATATTTAGATATTAAACTATACTGTTGCAAAAATATCTGCTCATCATCCCTTAACCAGTGCTCAGTGAGAAGAACAATGCCTGGGTAGTTTAAATCAGCTAAAAACAATTCCAATTCTGAAACTTTGTTTCTCAAAGATTGTATATTTAACAACACTAGGTCAAGTTTTTTACCACTTGACCCCTGTCTAAAAAAGGTGTATTGACTAGTGCATTGAGGCTTTTTGTTTGAATTTCAATATTACTATTATCCAAGTCTCCCTGCATACAATTACTGACATGACTATCCAAACTTTGGACATAAAAAGGAGAGGCACTACATTCAACGGTAATCGGAACCGATTTCAAAACTAATTTTCTACCAAGAACTACACTAGTTTCAACATACAAAGCGAGCAGTTTGCTCAGCGACCGAAGTGTGTGTCTGTATCTAGAATTTGTACATGTATTTGAAATTAGTCTTATACTACAATTATTTTTTTGAACATATTCTGACACAAACCCACTCAATTTATGAAATCTTGCCTCTGGATAATCCCTAAAATTACACTTCAACATTAATACTAAATTCGTGGTACTACCCATAGAAAGGATCCTCCCAATATCAGCGATACTAGGGGATGTAGAATTTAAATTTAAACTTACAACAATTGTATCCTTTTCAGTCAAATCAAATGATAATAAGAACATCCTTTCCACAAGACTTTTCATATTAAGTCCATTATAAACATACCCTTTTATCATGTGAGATGAATTCACAAGTTTAGACATAGTCGTGGACAGGGATCTTGCGCTGGAGTCTCCGCAAACAATGCATTTCCTGGGCACACAATAAGAAGCATTCGCCCGATGTCTCGCAGTTTCCATTTCTTTATCCAGGGTGATGCAGTCTTTCAACACACTGTTGTCATTTATCAGAGTAAATGAGTCATCTGCGGCAGTGGGTTCACAACACTTTGCAAGATCTTCTGAGGGTCTAGCTCCAATTAAAGACTGTTGATGCCCTATCATCTCCAAACTATCACACCTAGATTTAGTTGTTTTTAATTCCTCTTTAGCATGTAGTAGGTTTACTTTCGCACTCTTCAGCTCTTCTAAGTAGGATTTCTTTTCTTCTGAGAGCACTTGGATGGTGGTCAGCATATTCTTGTTGGTTTCAGTTATGTCCCCAAGATCCCCTTCAAGTCTACTGACAGTTAATCGACATTCCTTAAGCTGTTTATCTAAGTCCAAATTAACAGTGATAAGATTGGATACATTCTGATTAAGTTGAAGTATTTCTCCTTTTTGATCATTAATTTTAGCTGCAAGTTCCTGTTCTGTGTTGCAAGCGATATTCTCAAAATCTTGCGTTCTCCTGTTAATCCTCTTAATGTGATCAGCTTTAGCTTTATTATCAGCATGAAGCTCATCAATTTCGTCTTGAAGTTCATGCGTTTCCTTGAAGCATTTGTCCTCCAGCTCCTCGAACCTTTTATCCTTTTCAGCAGATTCCTGTTTTATTTTCTCATAGTTTTCCAAGAGTGTTTTATACTTTGTTGAGTCGCTAATATGCTACTTCAATAATTTCTTGCATCCTTGGCAGAAAAAAATCAAATTTCTTTGGGCAAGGGAGACAGCATGAGCCTCTGTGGTTGTTAGTTGAGCACATAATTTACAGAAAACTTGTTGACATAGGTCGCAAGCTGAGCCAAAAACCTCATCCTCCTTTGGGCGGCTCTTAAAAACACAGTCACTCGAACAGGTTTCACACTTAATAGAAGCCATACTCAAACTTAGAATGTGCCTTTATAAGGTAGATAAGTTTCAAATCTCCGTCCATGCGAAAGCTCTTCCAAGAATTTCAAACTAATTTATTATTTTTTCTTCCCCAAGTGACAGTAAAAGCGGCCTTTTAATGACACTTTCCATTTTTATTTTTATTCCCCAAACTTTCTGTAAATGCAAAATAAACAAACACAAATTCTGCATTAAACTTTAACTTTGAAGAACTGGATCAATGGCAAGGTAATTAGGCCAAGTTTACAAAAATTTACAAAAATACGCGCACAGCACAACGAAAACAAACACAATGATGTGATGCAAAACAAAACAAATCAATTCAAAACAAATCAAATTTGCAATACTCTCGGAGCTGCCAAACACGACCGTCCGGTACGACTGCTCGAGCTATTGTGTTAGTTAAGTCAGACAAAATTAAATGGTGAAGAATATTTGATGGCTCAGATCAATATCGAATCAGAAGTTTGTCATATATCTGATGAAGTTTTAGAAAATTTGCCAATTACTTTCAAGATTATTTATCAAGAAACTCAACAAGACAAAATTTATTCTAAAGTTATTCAATATGTACAGAATGAGTGGCCAACAAACACAAAGGATATCGAAAATCATGCACTTAATTTTTATTATAGACGAGACTCATTATGCGTTGTTCAAGGATGTTTAATGTTTGGAGACAAAATAGTCATACCATTGAAATTTCGAAATTCTCTTTTAAAATCACTACCTACATACTGGTTATCCTGGACAAGAAAGAATGAAATCCATAGCACGTGGATATGTTTACTGGCCAAATATAGACAGGGATATTATCAATTTTGTGCGAACATGTGAAGAATGTGCAGAAGTTTCTAGAAGTCCATCAAAAATTTCTCCAGTATCATGGCCTATTCCAAAGGGTCCATGGCAAAGAATTCATATAGATTTTGCTGGTCCAATCAACGATTAATATTATTTAATTATTGTTGATGCCTTTTCAAAGTGGCCTGAAGTTTTTGAAACTAAAACAATCACGTCACGCTTTACAATATCAAAATAAGAAGAAGTATATTCACGATTTGGAATTGTTGAAACAGATGTATCAGACAATGGCAGTCAATTCACTTGCAACGAATTTAAACAATTTTGTCAGAAGAATGATATTGAACATATTCGCACAGCAGCATATTGGCCTCAGACAAATGGTCAGGCAGAAAAGTTTGTTGACACCTTTAAAAGAGCACTTTCAAAAATTAAACAAGGGGGAAGTCATAGGCAATTACAAGATATAAACATATTTTAAAGAAGTTAAAAGAAAATCAAAGTCTTCCTCCATACAAATTTTTAATTGAAAAATTAAAGAGCCCTACATGTTTCGAAGCTATTAGAGCTTAATCATCAGGGGCAAGTTTACTCAATATTACTTAAACAGTTTTACATCATTTAATTTGAAGCCGCTGAACTTAGCATTTGGTAGAGGAAAAACCAAAAAGATTTAGAAAAAACATCTACATTTAGACAAAGGACATCTAATCTAAACGAATACTAGTTTAAATTGTAAAAAAAAACATTGTAAAAACATAAAACGTAAAACATGAATTAAGCTAATAAACTTTTCGGATTAAAAAAAATATATTTTCAAGAGTGTACAGGTCTACTCCAAATCCAAATTCTCCACATGGAAAATCTCCGGCTGAACATATGCTAGGAAAAAGAATGAGAATTCCACTGGATTTGTTACCTACTTCCTCCGAACAATATCCAGATTAATGAAATTTCAAACAAATTCAAAGAAGAAGATTTGACTTATGCTTAAATTTACAAAAATAACAAGTTCCGTTGGATTCCTGAAAAAATCATAGAGCCAATTGGCAATGTGAGTACAACATACATACTAGTGTTTTATCCAAATAATCACAACAAAATAAGAAGATGTCATACTAATCAAATTAACAGAAGATATTGAAGAAAAGCACCTATTTGAAATATTATTTCTCAAAATCTTAACTTAAAAAAAAAAAACGTTTACTGAATAAAAGTAAATGTTGCAACCATGTATGCGCCCTCAAGTTTAGGATTGAACGAGCGCGCCACAGAAAACGAAGGTACCGAAACCGAAGAGGATACAAGAAAATACGCAACTAGACTACAGAACGAGCTGGACTGGTCCCTTAGAAAACGTGTCGCGTGTCTGTAATTATTCATTATTCAATTTCCATTTTTATTTTGCAATAAACTGATTGTTCAATCCAATTTGTTATTAGTTTGTGTGTAAGAAGTGTTCACAGGTTAGTTGATTAATTATTATTTTGTTTGTGAGAGTTCAATTTATACAAATATCGCTTTTTCCATTTTTTTTATTTTTTTTTGTTTGTTTATAACATTTTTTTTATAACATGTGCATTGTTCATGTATTTAACAAAAATCGTTTCATGCTGTAAACAACACCGATAAAGAAGTAAATTAAAACCTAAGAAATTATGTGCTGTCTTTTTGTGCTGAGATTTTTATTTTGTGGATTTAGAGCGTGCATTAGGGCCTTGTTGAATTTACTAACATTTTCCTACCCTGACGAGAGAATATCCTAGCAAATTGAAATAATCAATCTAGAGATATTGGCTCAAAAACAACTATAGCTGAGTAGCTTCCCGTATGGGACCTCAGTACCTGCTGGGAAACTGGTTAACTAACTATTGAATATAGGTAGTGTTGATTAAATGTTGTGTGTGTAATTAAAATTTTAGCATAAAGACCAAGGACGGTAACTAATTTAAACTTTTAATGACTAAAATTATTGAATTAATGACTCACAATTATTATTAAAATGACACAGTATGTTTCGATTATTAAGGATTGTAAGATCGAGGGTTTCTTTACCGTGCTCTTTCCCCTCGTTAGTTCCAGGATGAGAACTTTACGATCTACTTTAATAATAAAGTAGACGTTTCACAAATTTTTCGTTTCTTTTACATATCACAACTTCCCTTAAATTTCTCAAATATTTGCTATGTCGGGCGCATGTCCAGTAAGTAAAATTGAATAAGTTTCCACAACGTAGGTCCTATTTGTTTTTCATTTCATTTTTCAGAAGATTTGTTGTTTAGAAGGTAATAAAAATTCTCATCGTTCAATCTTACTGAGCGAACCCGGGTATGTTATACTACAATATGTTAAAGAACGATATCAAAGTTTTCCGATCCCATTACATTTTTTAAAAGAAGAGTTTAATTTGCAAGACAACGTAGAACACAGATCAGATCAGTGTTTAGATCAAGAAGTTATCATTGAAAATATACCAGATAATAACAATTCAATAGAATCCACAACAGATAATACAAATACTGAGGAAATGATCGACTGATGTCAAAAACATAGTGCAAATAGGGGAGAGGGGGGAAAATGATCTTTTCGGTTTGAAATGATCCCTCGATTTGCAAGTTCGCCTTTGGTGCAAAATAAATGTTATATTGGCAACAGTGTACCTACTTGAAGGAGCGGCTATTGATGGGCAACGGTCGAAAATACGATTCAGTTCCAATGCAAGCGGTGACAAGTGAACTTGTGTTTTTTACATTCATGATCTAAGGTAAGGCATTTGGTTTGCTGTGTACTTTTTCCAAATGACGTGAATGACCGATCTTTTTCTTACCGCGTTTTGTTGAGGAAGAGTTGCGGAGACGATTTGTGGTATTCGTTTCCAATTAATTTTTGCAAATTAATCTATAATTAACAAAAGATGTCTCTTTGGGGTAAAACGATCCTCCAGAAGCGGGGCAAAATGATCCCGCTTTGAGGAGGGGATCATTTTGCCCCTTAGTGTTTGAAAAAATGTTTTGAATCATAATTTCGATTTTTGAATCATTTTTTACTGCTTTCTTACAGAATGCCACGAACATAAGCGAATAACCAACAGACAAAGTTGGGATGCTGAGCATATGAGAAATGCCATAGAAGAAGTTATGCGAGGAATGTTAGAACCGCTGCGCAAATTTTCTAGGTGCCAAGAATGTCCCTGAAGCGGCGTGTAACTGATAAAAATAAGGTAGAAAAGCTAGACAAAAAGTCACTTGGAAGCTGTCACCTTGTATTTCCTCCAGAACAACAGCAGGAACTAGTAAGACATATTCCTGATTTTGAAAGTAGAATGTATGGGCTGACTACTCGTGATTTGCCACAATTAGCATATCAACTTGCTGAAGGAAAAAACTTCCCCACAAATTTTTCCACGACGAAAAAGCTGCTGGTAAAGATTGGTTGAACGGATTTAGAAGAAGACATCAAGAGATCTCTCTGAGGTGTCTTGAAGCAACCTCAGCTGCTAGAGCAAAAGCCTTCAACAAACCGGTTGTGGCAAAGTTCTTCAATCTGTTGAGAGAGATTTTCACAAAAAATAATTATGCCCCTCACCGAATTTTCAACGTAGACGAGACTTCGATGTCCACTGTTCCCGAGCGAAATTCAAGAATATTGGCAAAAAAAGGTTCCAAACAAGTCACGAGGATTACATCAGCAGAGCGCGGAGTTTCGAAAACAGCGATAGTTTGTACATCAGCTGCAGGAAGCTTTGTTCCCCCAATGCTAATTTTCAGTAGGAAGCGAATGAAGGCTGAACTGACAGACGGAGCTCCTCCGAGCACCATATTTGCGTGTAATAAAAGTGATTGGATACGTACAGAAGGATTCAAGCAGTGGTTCGCTCATTTTGTGTCTTTTGTCAAGCCAAGTATTGATGA